GCGAGTGGTGCAGGCCAGCCAATCACCCATCACCGCAGCAGCGCAGTTACCCGCGGCGGAATCCCTTAGTTCAAACTTTAGCCTTAACTCACAGCAGATTCAGACAGTAAGGACACGAAGGCAGCTACAGAAAGAGAACGCAAGTTCTGCATTAACTCGCAGCGCCACGCCAACCCGGGGGGGGGGGGGGACACGCTTACCAAACACACCCTCCCAGTGTTTGACAGGATTATCCAGAGACAAACATCCACCTACCTGAGCCGGAGCGTGCCCCGGCTCCCCGCTCGCTGCGCCAGGTCCCTCCAGCCCTTGCCGGGCTCCGCTCGGTCCAGCAGCTCGCTGAGCCTGCGGAGCAGCGGCTCGGACAGGCGGCCCAGCGGCTCGGACAGGCGGCCCAGGGGCTCGGACAGGCGGCCCAGGGGCTCGGACAGCCGGTCGAGGGGCTCGGACAGGCGGCCCAGGGGCAGCGGCCCCGCCGCGCCGCGCTCCATCGCGGGCCCGGAAGGAAGCGCCGAGCGGGGCGGGCAGGGCGAGTCCGGGTGAGGGGAGCGAGGTGGGCAGGGCGGGCCCGGCCGAAAAGAGGAGGACGGGCGAGGCAGGTCTATTTGAGAAGAGCGGGGCGGGCGGGGCGAGTCCGGCCCACGGGAACGGGGCGGGTCCGGTTGAGGGGAGCGGAGCAGCCGGGGCGGGTCCGGCCCACGGGAACGGGGCGGGTCCGGTTGAGGGGAGCGGAGCAGCTGGGGCGGGTCCGGCCCACGGGAACGGGGCGGTCCGATCCGGTCCGGTCCCGCCCCACTGAGGGAAGCGTGGCAGTCCGGTCCGATCCGGTCCCGCCCCGCTGAGGGAAGCGTGGCCCTCCGGTCCGATCCGGTTCGGTCCCGCTGAGGGAAGCGTGGCCCTCCGGTCCGATCCGGTCCCGCTGAGGGAAGCGTGGCCCTCCGGTCCCGCCCCGCTGAGGGAAGCGTGGCCGCCCGGTCCGATCCGGTCCCGGTGAGGGAAGCGTGGCCCTCCGGTCCGATCCGGTCCCGCTGAGGGAAGCGTGGCCGCCCGGTCCGATCCGGTCCCGGTGAGGGAAGCGTGGCCGCCCGGTCCGGTCCGGTCCCGGTGAGGGAAGCGTGGCCGCCCGGTCCGATCCGGTCCCGGTGAGGGAAGCGTGGCCGCCCGGTCCGATCCGGTCCCGCCCCACTGAGGGAAGCGTGGCCGCCCCACGTGGCTGAGGGGACTCGGTCATGTCGGGACAGGAGCCGCTCCCCCTCTCGCCCCGGCGCTGCGGACACCGTGAGGGAGCCGAGCGGGTTTTGTTTCACCCGTTTGGAAAGGGGAACGTTGTGTTTTGTGACTCGGGGCCAGACCTCGTGCGGCGGCCGCCGCTGAGCCTGAGAGGGCGGGACACGGGTGGGGAGGCGGAGCTGGGGCGTGACCCGGGCAAAAAACACACAACACTGAGGACAAACTGAGAACCAACAGCCTTATCCACCCGCAGCCGGCACCGCCGTGGATTCTCCTCCGTGACACAGCTACTGCCAGGGCCCACGCAGGCAGGTGTGCAGATTAAGGCTCGGGCACTCCCGTGGGAGAGGAGGGAGGGCTTGGGAAGAGCCTCCCGGAGAGATGTTCCCCTGCCCGCTCTCCATCACTGCCGATGGACGGATGAGTGGGGTAACGATCTGGAGGGAGTTTTCATCTCTCTGGAGCTGCGAGTTGCCCGAAGTGGACTGAAAGTAATTTTAGGAACACTTGTAAACAGTGGTCGAGCGTTCAGGTTGTTCGGAGAGGTGCAAGGTGCCCCATGCCTGGAAGTGTTCAGTGCCAGGTTGGCACAGCCTGGTCCAGTGGAAGGTGTCTCTGCCGATGGCAGGGGTTGGACTAAAGGACCCTCAAAGGTCTCTTCCAACCCTGACTATTTTATGATCCAAACGTGGCTGCCTCTCGTCTCTCTGGGGGTTATTTTGACCATTAGGCTGTTACATAAAACAGCTATCCCACTTGTTATTCCCGAGTGATGCTGATGGGAGGTGCCATATTTATTGCTGGACACGCCAGCTTCCTATCTGGGTCCTGATAACACTGGCAGTGAGAAGCATTTAGCACAGCAGGTATCTCATAACCAGTTCTGCCATTATTGCAAAACTCTAAAAAAAAAAAGGGGGTACAAAAAACTCGCTTTTCAGCCTTTTCCAGGTCCCTTCAGCTCCGAGCAGTTCGTGCAGTTCATTCCCAGGCTCACCAGAACTTCTGTGGGCTCCAAAAACCAACCCGGAGTGCTTTGTTATGAAACCCTAAGGCCGACACTTCCTCTCTCTCTCTCTCTCCCCGTCAGCCACGAGGAGATTCCTGTGCCCTCTGCTCGCTGCCAAGTGCCTGTCTGGTGGAGGTGTTCCCAGAAAGGGCCATCTGCTGCCTGGAACGAAACCGCCTCTCTTTTTAAAAGTCATCCTGTGGGGCCATCGGACTGCCTTCCCCTGAGGTCACACCGGCACAACAACACCCCCCCGGACTGCCGACAACATGCACGGCTTCAAACTCCTCCGTCCTGCTGCTGCGAGTGCCAGCCCGGGCCCAGCCTGCTGGTAAAATGGCCCAAAAAGTGAGGGGTGAGTGTGCATTTTGGATTTCAAACTTTACTCATCTGCTTTTTTTTTGTTTTTTTTTTTATCCTGTGAATCGTACAAGTAGTGGAAAAAGGGAGAGTTACTTTATTGTGCTTTACGTGGCTGTGGTGATCTGTACTTTTATTGCACGGGAAACAGGATTTGTTATTTGCTTCTGCCGAAGAATATTCATTTTCCCTTATTTTTATAGATTGATTTGTTTTTAAAATTGGTTTGCATTTAGAATTCTGCTCAGCGTTTCCAAAATTACACTCTGGTGCCATTTCCACCGAGGCTCAGCAGCATAAAAATTGCAAAAATTGCAGGCAGGCTTCCTTCTCTGAACAATGTGGAAGGGATAGCAGGCATCCTGAAAAAATGCATTTTATTTGTTCTAAGCACATATTGCAGTTTATTTGTTCTCAGACTCGGCAGGTAAAAATTTCTCCCGTTCCTGAGGAAAAAAAAAAAATAACTAAAATCCGGTGACTGGTAGAAATGGACGATTCCCAGGGCTGCGTGAATTGCTCAATCTGGCAGGGTCAGATGCCTGGCAGCTGTTAAAAATAGATTAAGAGAGAGGAGCGTGAAGAGTCGTGCCGTGATTGCTCGGTTTAATTACTCCACGTTGAGGTCTCTGTTAGAGGCGGGCAGAGCCCGGTCGTTTGTTTGTGCCGAAATTTCCCGTGGAATGGGATTCCATCAGGGATTGATTCCATCAGGGATATTCCATCAGTGCTGATGCACGCAGCGAGCTGAGAATAATTCACACTGAGGAAACTTTGAGCTGCCAACTTGGAGTGAAATATTTGATTTCTACTAAAGCGATGGGATGGGTGGTTGCTGGTGGGTTTGGTTGGCAGATTTTGTCATCTGAAGGGAGAAAAGTGAAGCCTAATTATCCCCACCCACTTTCCGGGTGGTTTAGCTACCTGCCAACCTAACTGGGTTGGTTTTGGTTAGAACTGGGTGAGTTTGGCAAAAAAAAGGTGATGCAAGGAGAGGAGGAAAATTAACAGCCGCTTCTCACATTTAATCAAATTTGTGTGGCTTTGTCAGGTGATTTTTTTTATCTTTTTCTTTGTTCAATCAGTAAGAAACAACTTTGTGCCCCAAACTGCCTTCCTGCAAGTGTGTCAGTCTAGAAAAGTCAGTCTAAAAGACAGCTATTCCCCTTTCAGGAGTGATTTTTAACTTGGGGTTTCTTTTATTTACAGGTGCACGGAGCAGGATCTGCGCTTCATTGACAGCTGGAATGACTCTTGTTCGACTGCAGCCGGATGCAGAGAACAAAACTTGCCTGGAATTTGCTGCTGTCCTGAAGGAGCCCGTGGGACACCTCAGGGCGAAGTGAGCAAAATGGGGAAGGTTTCACACAGCACAAGAGTTCGCCCCGTGAGGGCGAGCCCCTGTTGATGTTACCCGGTTCTGACCCGCCTGAAATCAGCCATTTACGGCTCGAGGAGCTCGGCAAAGCACGAATCTCACCCCCCTCTGAGAAATCCCACGGACACAGGGGACAACATGGCTGTAAAAAACGGGATTACGTCCCAGGGGAGCGTTTCGTGCCCGAGGGATCTGCCAGGGAGCGGTGATGAGCTGCTCCGCCTGAACGGTGCGCTCGCTGCAAGAGCAGAGGAGCTCCCTGCAGATGAAACCGCTCGTCACACAGGCAGCTGTTGCCTGCACGGGGAAGCCCCTGGATCTGGTCAGCCTCTGGCAGATGGCCAGGTGTGTAAAAACACTGGGTTGGACTGTTCTCTGAGCAGGAATTCCCTGCTCAGGGAGCAGGCAGATAGTCCCGTGGGAAAAGATGATTCTGCGAGCTCTGCCACCCTTCTGGAGATTCGCACAGAGGAAATTCCAGATGTTAATGATGACTTCTCTGATGATGACCTGGAGTACTTCGAGTGCTCAGATGTGCTGACGGGGCAGGAAAATGAAATCTGGCAGAGGAAACTGCGGTTTCTGCTGGAAAGCGACGACGAAGACGACCTCAAACTGAGCGAGGATTGCGATGGGTGCGCTCGCCTCCTGGGCGAAGTGTCGGGTGACACCGCGCCTGGGGAGACCCCCATTGGCTTCCGTGGGCATCACTCAACATTCCCAGGGCTCGATGTAAGGAGAGACCCCTCCATGCCCAGCCAGTCCCCTCCGCAGGCAGACATGACTCTCGCCGTCGGCCACCGCCGGCAGGGGAGCGCCGGCCCCGAGGACGAGCACGGCGCGCCCGTCGCATCCGCAGGTGCTGCAGATGAACATCCCGGCAGCCCGGGGGACGCTGATGCAAGCGGCCACCTGGCTGGCACGGCGAGGCACTCGGATCCTGCTCCTGCTGATCCTGCAGGTGCCGGGGCAGACCCCTCTGCTGTGGGGACAATGACGGGAGCCGGCGCTGCCCGGGGGGAAAGCTCCCCGCTGCCGGAGGAGGGGGACGGGGAAGGAAAACCCCAGGAAAACCCCCGGCACGCCGGCTGTGCCTTCGCTGAGACCCTGAGGAGGAACCTTTTCAAGCTGTTAAACCCCCTGGAGCTCTGCAGGTACGTGAGCGCCATAGGACAGTCTCTGCAGGCTCCATCTCCCGCTCCAGAAGGTGTCCTGATTCCCAAGGAGACAGAAAACCTGGAGGTGCAGGCAGAAGAGGCAGATAAAGACTGTCAGTGGGAAGGGAGAAGGACTCAGGGCCTGCCTGAGCAGAGTCAGATGCCGGATGAGAACGCCTCACTCGGGGTAAGTAACGTGTTTGTCATTTAAAAATATCATTATTTTATCACTAAGAGCCGCTCTGCTGATTTCAGTGCCGCTTATCCCTGCTTGGCAGCGAAGCCTGGAGAACTGGAGTCGCTTTGGGAGGCGCTGTCCGTGCCCTGCTGAATGACAGCCCCGGCTGGGAGGGAAATGGGGGTCAAGTAAAGCCCGGGGTTGTTCTAATTATAGAGCCAGCCTGATAATGGGGAGAGAGGCACTAATGGACAGCTGGGTGGGGAAATCCGAGAGGGAGGTCTCAGCGAAGGAATGCCTCGAGCCACAAGGTTTCTGGAATGCCCATTGTGAGCAGAGAATGTTTTGGTTTGCACTCGTTTTTCCTCCCCTCTCCAGGTACCTGCGTGGGTAGGAAACACGTGGGGAAATCAGTGCAGTTGTACAGGCTGTATGTGCAGGTGTGATGCTCCACCAGTTTCCCTGAGTGGGAAGATGGGATAGTAGTTTTTATTTCACGGAGGTTCAAGTCATTGACAACAACTTTCTCTATCTGCTCCCTCCCAGTTGTCACCAGCATGTAATCAGCTCCACGTTGGAGAATGGAGGAGCAGAAAGGCTGAAAGGGGTGGCAGCTTCACTACAACTCCCTCCCTAAGGAACAACCTGTGCTTCCTTTCAGACTCTTACCCAGGAGGTTGATTTCAAGCCATCAGATTGATGATATGAGTCAGAAACTTGACTGTTGAAAAACATTTTAACAAAAAACCAACCCCCCCCAAAAAAACCCCCCTTAAAGCCACAGCTCTAGTTCAGGCCCATGTCGAGCTGCATTTTTAATTTTTAATTTTTGATTTTTGATTTTTAATCAAGTTTCTCTCTTTTCTTCTCTGTAGGATCGAGGTGCTCATCTTGAAAGCGTCCCCCAGAACTGTGACAACCTCTGCGTGGAAACAGAGGGGACCCTGAGGGCTGGGGGGAGCGGAGGAAGCAGCCAGCCAGCTGCAGGGATGCTCTCTGCTGACGTCACGCTGCCAGCAGAGAATGCAGAGTTACAGACTCCTTCTCTCGCCCCAGCTCTCCCCTGCGGCCCCTCAGGGGGTGCTGATGCCCTGCCAGCCCTGCAGTCGGGGTGCAGAGGGGACGCTGATGGATCTGCGGTGCGTGACGAGCTGTGGAAACTCCTCCACGAAGATGACTCAGAGGGTCAGGTCCCGTTGGCAGACAGGGGCGTCACGAGTTGGGGAACGAGGCCGACGGGTGTCCAGGTCACGGAACAGGAGAGCTGTTGCCATCCTCCTTTGCTGATGGATGGGATGGAAGAGCGGGAACCCCTCCCGGCAGCCAGCCCTGGGCGAGCTGGGCGCGGCGATCGTCCCATCCTCCGAGGAGCTGCGGCACCCACAGCTTGTCTGGCAGCGGATGGGGCTGGAGATGAGATGGAAGCACCAGCAGCTCGTCCTGCAGCAAACGGCACCTTCCCAAGGCCAGGGCTTCATCCTGAGCACGGCGTGTCCTGGGGGGATGAGTCTGTACCTGGGGAAGGCTGTCATTTCAGGGGAGGACCGGCTGATTGCCCTGAAGAAAAAGGCCTTTTCCCCAGTGACAACACCTGTCAGCTCACACGTGCAGGGCACTGCTCTGTTGGCACCGTACATGGGAGGTACAAACTGAATCTACAGGCAGGAGGAGATGGCTCTGCCTCGAATGCACAAAGCGACACTGATTCCCAGGGTTGCCATCTTCCAAAAATTAACAGCTGTCAGGATTTTCAGGCTGTTTCTGCTGCACAGAAACACGGTTCTGTAATGCAACTGCCTGCTTTAATTGAGACTCCTGCAACCATAACGGGTGAGAATCGACCCCAAAGCGCAGAGCAACTGCCAGAAACAGCAGAACAGGATGGGGCGTTCGCTCCCTCCTCCAGGGATCTGCCTTTAAGTGATTTTTGTGTGGAAATGCCCAGCTGTGAGGCAGCTAAACCGGGAGATCAGAGTGAGATTCCCACAGCTGATGAACACAGGGCTGGGATTTCCCGTGACCCAGGAGTTACTCGGGTTTCAGAGGGTCCATCTGCAGTTTCCCCTCGTTATACAGCGGCACAACAAGGCAGGGGGGATCAGCCAGATGCCCAGCAACTGCCTGGGGCAGCAACGCTGCTGCTCCTCACACCTGCCAGCCCCTCACAGGACCTGCTGGTAAAAAAAACTGGATCCACTCCACCTGGAGACGAAGGAAACAGAAACCTGAGCGTGCTGGAAACTTCCTGCGGAGCATCGCAGGGGCTGTTCCAGAGGGCACCTGCACAAACTCAGGGGGAAGGAGATGAACACGAGAGGCCAAGAGCTGTTGGACGCAGCCCAGATGAAGCTGAAACGAAGGCTGCTTTAACTTTAATCAGCTCCCAGGCTCAGGGACAGGTGGTGAACACCGGCACGGAGCAGTCCTGCCCTGACGGGATCCCTCCCAGCGAGGCTGATTGTTCCATCAGCGACAAAGAGGAAGAAGTCAGGGCGGCAGAGAGCGTGGTAAATTGTGGTTTGGCTCATTTGCCACCGGTTGATTCGGGGAGCAAGGGGTGTTTTGAGGAGCAAACTCGGCTGCTCTCCGGGGCATCGACCGCCTGCGACCCGCTCGCCATCGACGCGGAGAGGCAACAAAATCAGGAGGGCTCCAAACCCTGCCAGGCAGAGCCTGAGCCCCCCAGGTGTAAACAGGACGCGGCCAAGGGCGGGCATTCAGCTGCTGGGGCCAAGAAGAAGTTGCCACCGGCGGCTCTGCCCAAAAAACCCCGCCTGGAGGAGAAGGGAGGTGGCAAAAAGTCCGGGAAGGGCGAGGCGGGCGGGACTCGTAGAGAAGACAGAAAACCCGAGCAGAGGAAACTGGTTTTGAAAAAGGACAGCAAAGGTAAGAGCAAACTTGATTTCCTTTTTCTGGCTGGGCGTTTTTCTGGCTCCAGCAATCCTGCAGGGCTGGGATCCCCGAGGAGGGACACCAGCGCAGCAGCTCGGAATTCACGCGGCGGGAAAAGCATCATCTCCAATTTTACATCTCTCACATCGGGCAGGGATGTGTCACCATCCCAAAAACCTTTTCCCTGGGAGGTGGATTCCCTTTCTTTCCCAGTCCCCTCCCTCCTGCTGCCGTGCCCATGGGCAGGGATGCCAGAGCAGTGTGGGAGGCCATAATTATTTACCGGGGTCGTCGCTGTTCGTGTTCTTCACGCGAAAGGTTAAGATGCCAAGGTGACGTCATTATCCCCTCACCCTCCATCGTGGCTCTGCTTTTTTCAAGCTCCCAGGCTGCTGAGGAAGATCCAGGCAGAGTCTTTCCCCGAGGGCTCTGGGAACGTGAGGCTGTGCTGCCAGTTCGGGGACATCCACGGGGACTCCACCGTGACCTGGACTAAAGATTCCAAGGTGCTGGCTCGGCTGCACAGGAGGTGAGTGAGTGTTTTTTGAAGCTCCTGGACAGCTTTTGGGACGCCTGAATTGCTTAAACTTCCCACGTGATTGCGATTGCCGCGCTGCAATACCCACGGCGGCGGCGTCTGCTGAACAAGCGTGCCGTGCCGTAACAAACCAACCCTGCAGGGAGATCCAATGACCAGTTCTCCCAGCGCTGACAGGTCCCACCGCTCTGTTGCAGCGCTCAGGATGACTCTCCCGTCTCCCTGGAAATAGCCAAGGCCGCTAGCAAAGACCAGGGCATGTATTACTGCTGCCTCCACAACGCCTTTGGGAAGGTGACCGCTGAGTTTCACCTGACTGCTGCAGGTAAAGCTCCGTTTGGCACTTTAATTACTGATAATATTCCTTTCCATTCAGTTTTTTTGACTATAAAATCCATGTCTTGCTTTCCTTGCAGTGCTGGAACGCCTCTCCAGTTTTCGGAGCTACGAAGGTAAATCCGAAGGGCGTGGCATCACACACGCAGTGAAAGCCCTGGAGGTTTGGAATGCTTTCCCCATGTGTTCCCTCGTGTTCAGTGACACCCAGCATGTGTCCTGGGCTGCAGCTAAAGATAGAGCCTTGCCTGGAGGGTCTGTCATTCCTCAGCACCCTGAGCAACCAGCGTGGCCTTCGGGGGGGCCCATCCTTTCCGTTCCCTCGAAGAACAAACTTAAACATTCATTTACTTGGGCAAGATAAAGATGGGGCTTTTTGTGTGACAGGACTGGATGACTTTTGATCAGGAGGAGTTAGGGAGCACCCTAATTCTTGTCTTCCCTGTGCAGTGTTCCCTCTGTGCTTCCAACAGAGGCAGGGAGGGTGCAGGTCACTGCAAGGGGCAGCTCCGAGTTGTCCCTTCCTCGTCGTTCTCTCCTCCCATTTCTCATCTTCACTGATGTTTCCTGCAGAGTTACACTTCGAGACACTCGAATTGCCATTAGTTTCTCTAAGTGCTTATTAACCTTAACCACTTTTTCCCCCCCCCTTATGAACATTTTGCCGTTTGGCTTCCACTTGATGATGATCATTTAAAGAGGTGAAATCCTCACTCTGGATTTCCAGAGTGTGTTCTGCCCTTACCGCCCTGGTAAGCTGCTGGGTTTTAGGTGGCAGTGAAGTGCAGCAGTTCCCACTCGAGCAGCAGAGTCCCAACCCCCCCAGTAGGACAATTTACACCGCACGAGCGTTTCTCGTGAGCCAAGTCGTTCCATCCCCCCCTCTCCCCCCCGTTACATTTCAGGTGTGGAGGAGATCGAGTTCATGCAGCTGCTGTTCCGGGACGATTCCATCAGCGACAGCTACTTCGGGGGCCACCTGCACGGGGTGCTGGCCACGGAGCAGCTGCACTTCGGCGAGGGGATGCACCGGCGCGCCTTCCGCAGCCGCGTGCGCCGGGGCCTGGCGCCCGTCTTCGCGCCCGGCCACCCCTGCGTCCTCAAGGTGCACAGCGCCCTCAGCCCCGCCACCGGCACCAGGGAGGAGCTGGTGAGGAGGAACTACAACCTGGCGCTGCAGGTGAGTCCCCCCCGGCCCCCGGGGAGTGTGGAATCATCAGCACACGTCCGGTGAGTGTCCTGAGCGGGGTTGGTGTCTGTTTGTGCCGCAGGAGTGCTGCGTGCAGAACGCCGCCAGGGAGTACGCCAAGCTGTACGCCGCCGAGGCTGAGACGCTGGAAGGCTTTGGGGAGGTGCCAGAGTGAGTATTTACAGCTGTTTGCGTAGGTAGGTGCTCATACCGAGCGACCTGTGCTGACTGCTAAAGGGGGAGGGTGGGAACAACGTCACGGTGCTCTCGGCTTGTTTGAAACTCTTCATTCGCTCTCTGAGCTCACCCCGTCCTCTTGTCTGTTCCTTCGTCCCTCACTGAGAGAATTCTCTGACTTTTGTGAGTTTTGTTAGCGATTTCACCGGTTTCTACCCCTGGCTTTCAGGATCATTCCCATTTTCCTCATCCACCGCCCCGCCAACGCCATCCCCTACGCCACGGTGGAGGAGGAGCTGGTGGGGGAGTTCGTGAAATACTCGGTCAGGGACGGCAAGGAGGTGAATTTCCTGAGGAGGGACTCGGAGGCTGGCCAGAAGTGTTGCACCTTCCAGCACTGGGTGTACGAGAGGACCAGCGGGAACCTGCTCGTCACCGACCTGCAAGGTGCGAGTTTTAGTTTTATTTTTATGATGGAAGAGAGAAACAAATCTCACCCCCTGAAGGGGAGGGTTGTTCTTCCACTTTTAGTGAATCAGGACGCTCAGGATGGGTCAAATCTGGGTTGATGAAGTGGCTTGTGAGTGGAAGGGTTCAGGTGTCAATGACGAGCCAGTCCTTCTCTTTTTCTTCTATTTACTCACCAGCAATCAGCGTGCTCCACGTGCAGGTCCTGCCTAGGTTTGAGGAAACCCCTTTCCTTCAGCTCCCCTGGGTGGGATTCCACCTGCCCAGTGTGCACAGAGGTTCTCGAGACAGGGGAGAACAGACCCTTCTCAACCAGAAAAACTTGGGAATCTTAAAAAGAAATCCCACGTTCATGTACAAGAGAAGTTGGGAAATTAGCAAGGCATGACTAAACAAGATCCCTGAAGTCATTTAAAAGGGGGAAGAAAGAATCTTAGCCCAGGAACCGATAAAAACCAGTGGTGTGAGCCTGACTGATGACACAGAGCGCGATGATTTTAACTGGGGCCCCTAAAACTCTCGGGGAAAAAAATGCGACAGAACATTCCAGTGGGAAAGGTGAATCCATGAACAAGATCTGATGCCTGCGTGGGTGAAGATTCTCCTGGGAATTCCAGTGGAAGCCGAGCTGAGGGGTTTCCCTTTGTGCCTTGCAGGTGTGGGGATGAAGCTGACGGACGTTGGCATAGCCACCCTGGCCAAAGGGTGAGTGAGCTCAGAAAGGTTTGGGGGTTTTTTTAGGTCCTCAGGAATCAGCAGATTAAAGAGTGGTGGTTGTCCAGCTCGCTCTGGGAAGTGACTCCCATAAAAACTGCCGTGCTGGGGGAGGAGGGAAGTGGAGCATCATTTAGCCAGCGGTGTTCTCGCCGGGTGGAGGTGACACAGAACCGACTGGTTTGGTTCTCCCGGGCGATTTGTCAGCGATTTACGCCCTCCCCTCGAATTCTGCTCGCTTGTCCCGGCTCCGCGTGTGTTTTCCCGGGGATCTGGAAAGCGGAGGAGCCCGCAGTGCTGGTATCAGCAGAGGGCGAGGCCGAGCTGGGAACGGGAAGCGTTTCCAGGCTGGGGGCACTGGAGGGCACCAGAGCCTTGGGATCGGCCGCTGCTGCTGCTCTTTGTGCGGGTGGTTCCTCAGGAACACGCGAGCAGCTGGTTTAGACGGGCTTTTATTTACCTCGGAAGAGAAGTGGATTGATTTCTTACAGCGTGGAGGAGACTTGCTTAAGGTTTTCTCGAGATCCTGCTCTGTGCTAAAAACCAATCTTGAAATCCCTCTTTTTTTTTTGGTTTGTTTTTTTCTCCTTTGTCGCTGCAGGTACAAAGGGTTCAAAGGCAACTGCTCCTTCTCCTTCATCGAGCAGTTCCGAGCCCTCCACCAGTGCAACGAGTACTGCCAGATGCTGGGGCTCAAATCCCTGCGAGCCACCCACCAGAAACAGCGCAAAGCCGCGGCCCCCAAGGGCAAAAACCCGCCCAGCTCATCAGCTGGGAAGAGAACGCTGCCCAAAAAGGGCAGAGAGCACCGAGACTTCATTTCCTCCGAGCACTGAGGGGACAGTTGGGGACAGTTTGGGCGCGGTTTTGGAGCCGCCCCGGTGCTGATGGCAGCGACAGATGAAGGAGATGACTCTGTGCTCTCGGTCCCTGTGTCTGTGGAAACGTTCCTGTGTTTAAGGTGCCACTCAGTCCCAAGTTTTGCACACTTGTTGTTGCTCAGGCTGCTATTGGAAAAAAAAAATAAAAAAGGGGGTTCTTTTCCCGGGTTTTTGCATATTAAAATCCCACCCTGATTCTGCCCTCGTGATTTTTTTTTTTCTGTCTTGTATTAAAAAATAAAACCGTTCGCGGTTGTCCTGTAATTCCACTCCTGCCCCTTCCCCCCTGTTTGACCTGTTCTGTCTCAGTTTTTAGTGCTTTGAAAGCCGCTGAGCTGCTGATTTTCCCCAAATAGGAAGGCGTTTCGGTGTCTGCTCCCACATCCACAAAACAGCCTGGCTGTGGTTTGGACCATCGAAAAAACAACCAGAAGTGGCTGATGGAACCACCTTCCGAGTCGATGGCCCTCAGGATCTCGTCTGTGGGGAGGGGTGAGGAGTCCTTTTGTACTTTTTTTTTTTAACTCCTCTCCTGGGACACAAGTTTGGGCGGTGGGAGCTGGGAGGTGGCTCTGCTCTCGGCCTGGCTGCCAGCTGGGAATTTTGCTGGGATTTTAATCAGCCCAGGAACTTGCTCAGGAGAGGCCTCTCCTCCTGCCTGTTTTTGGGCAGCAGTTCTCGTGCACGTCGCAGGAGGGGGGAAGCTCCACCATACGACTCAACCAGCAGGACAGAGGGAGTTCCCTTTTGGAAGGACCACTTTTTATTTTTTTTGCTTTCCCTCCTTTCTCTTTTTTTTTTATTTCTGGTGGTGGGGGGGGGCAGGGAAGATCTCAATTTTTGGCTTCTCCAGCACACCCAGGGCCCCCCCCCCCATGTGGTGACCACCAGTGACCCAACAGCACCTCCTGCTGACTGATTTACAGAACTGCAGGATCTGCATGATCCGTGATCCAACAGCACCTCCTGCTGATGGATTTCAGAACTGCAGGATCTGTCCCTCCCGTGATCCAACAGCACCTCCTGCTGACTGATTTACAACACTGCAGGCTCTGCCCCCGCTATGATAAACCAGGTGATTACAATTGCACCAAAGGGCTCCAACTAAGCTGTTTACCTTTTTTTTTTGTGGTTTTTTGCTTATTTTTTCGGTTTGAAGGGGAGCATTTTTGGGTAGAGGATTGCTGCTTGGTTGGTTTGTTCGTGTTCTTTCGTTGCTGTGCCAACACACATCTATCTTTTAATAATGGGCAGTTTGAGTTCCAGCCCTTTCCTTCTGAGAGAAGTTTCTATGCGGTGGCGATTGGAAGGGCTTTCACCTGCCAGAACCTTCCAGAAACTTTAACGCATCTGATACTCGTGTAGTGTTGGGAAAAGTCATGTTGCTCTAAAGAGAAAACACACCAGAAAGCTGCTCATTTTCCAGCACGTTAGCAAGGCAGGAGGAGGGAGAATTAATCTACGCTGCTCTCCTGCTGCACAGAGGGGCTCCCTTGTCTTCCCTTCCCTTTTGCTTTCCACCTGCACAGCCAGGGAAAAGGGAAAAGTTCTCTTGCCCATCCTGCCCCCCAAATTCACCTTCATTCAGCTGAAGGTGTGGGGGACCTTTAGAGGAAACAGATTTTAATCAGAACTTGGGAAAGCGCCGGAAGGTTCTCCCCGGCCCCTCAGTCAACATTCCCAACACGTGCTGTGATTGGGCGGCCGAGGGAAAAGCTGGAGTTTCTCCCTCAGCTGATTGGTTTCACCTTTCTGATTTCAGGGGGGAAAAAAAACAAACAAAAAAAAATGCCCAGTTGAGCTCTCAGAAGTTTCCAGAGAAATCCACAGTCCCGAGGATGGCAGAGCCATCTTCCTGCACGTGTTCCAAGGCTGTTCCTCCCTCAGCACAGCAACGCCAGAGCTTCCCGAGCTGATGCCTGGTCTGCCAGGAGCTATTTAGTGTGATAATGGCGTTTGATAGCCTGGACACAAACACCATTGTCACACTCCACAGCTCCGGGAGCAGCTGCTGAGCCCCCGGGAGGGGCTGGGAGGGGGCACATTTCAGCCACATTTCAGCCACATTTCAGCCAGGGGGAGGTTCAAAGATCTGCAAAACAGAGATGAGACCGTTGTTTGTGAATATTTACACGGGACACACCGGGGTTCTGACAAGGAAAGGGTTCCAAATCGCTTGGAGGTGAAGAGTTTGCCTCAGGCAGCTGTAGAAACGGAGGAGACACAAATTCCTGAAGGAAGGGCTGGGCCATTCCTGCCAGGACCTGTGTTGATGGAGCCAGCTCAGGATCATCAGCAGATTTTGATGGAGCCAGCTCAGGATCATCAGCAGATTTTGATGGAGCCAGCTCAGAATCATCAGCCCCAGATTTTGATGGAGCCAGCTCAGAATCATCAGCAGATTTTGATGGAGCCAGCTCAGAATCAGCCCCAGATTTTGATGGAGCCAGCTCAGAATCATCAGCCCCAGATTTTGATGGAGCCAGCTCAGAATCATCTCCAGATTCTGATGGCTGTGTCAGAGCTGAGGAATCTCCCCCGGGCAGAGGGGGATTTGATTTTCATCTCCCTGTTTTTAGGTGCATTTCTGAGCAGCCCCCCAGGCACGAGGCAGGGGAGGGAGGAGTTCAAGATCCAGGGCTGGAGTCAAAAAAAGAACTCCCAAAACCATGGGGAAAATTCTGGGGCAGTACAGGGAGAATCCATCTACGCCGCTTTAGTTCGTCAATAACTCCCAGCATTTCCCTTCTCCTCGCACAAACCGAGCTCAGGAAGGCACTTACCATCAGAGAAAAGAGCCAGAGGATCCTCTGCAGCGCTGGCAGGGCTGGGCAGAGCCAGGACCCTCCTGCAGGGCCTTTTGCTGTCGATTGGGATCCTCCTGCTCGTGCTTTTCCTCTCGGGGGGGGGGGGGGTTCCCAGCGCTCGCTCGGCTCTCGCAAACCTCTGGTCCCGCTGCACGACTTTCCCTCTCCCTTTATGGGATCCCGAGGTCTAGAAAGTAAACAACCACCCCAAAAAAAAAAAAAAAGCTCTGATAAGTCCTATTAAAATATCGATCCCCGGGGGGGGGGGAGGGAGGGAGGGAGGGAGGTGGCCCTGGCTGAGCCCGGCCACGGTCACCTTTAGGCAGATGGGAGTGGAAAAACCAGCTGTGGGACCCCGCTTTGCTCTGCTCCTTCCCGCGTGGGGAAGGGGAAAACGCCAGATCTGCTGAAGCCTGAGATGAGGAGCTGTGTGTTAATAACCAGCGAGAGCGATCTGGTGGCTTCCTCAGCTCCCGGCGCTCGTCTCACCTTCGCTGCTGGCACTCGCCAATCTTATCTCTCCCTTTTTTTCATGTTGATGGGGTGTCTGCTCTGCCCAGGATTTTTTCAGAGCTGGCAAAAGGCCTGTCCCATTTCTACAGGGTATTTCCTTGCTTACTTCCATCCCCCTGCTTCTGTCCCATCAGAATCTTTTAGAACAGTCTGGGCTCGGCGTGTGGGGTTTCAAATAATAACGTTTTCAATATTATACTTCGTAATAAGTGAGGAACCAGGTGGCTTTACTGGTTTTACTGATGTGCCCAGCCAGCAGCAGAAAATCACTGTCACATTAAAAAAAAAACAAACCCCAAACCCCAAACCAAACCCAAAACACCACAACTTGTCCCAAACCAGCACAAATGTTGGTGTTTATTCAGATTTCCACAAGCTGAGACTCCCAGCTCAGGGTTCTGTTCCAGGACCTGAAGGAGCTGGTGTTCAGCAATTTACCCCAGATTAGGGCACAGTCAGCAGCGCTGCCCCACGATCTGATGGGCAGGGGGGGAGGGCTGCGAGCGCTGGGCCAGCTCTGCTGCCCTCAGGGAAAACGCTGTGACCCTTGCCAGCGGTTAAAGATTATCTGGGCTGGTCACTCCGACTGCTGGGTAGGGAAAAATTAACTCAGAGCAGCAGAGAGGAGAGCAAAGGGCTTTAACCTGCAAGCCGTGATCTCTGCTGATTTCTGCGGGGCATTGATTCGGAGTTTCCCAATCACCGACACCCGTTACATCAGTAATTTCCCGTTAACTGGTCACCCCCTGCCACATCCCACAGGGAACAGCCAGCCTGGGGGTTGAGCTGGGGGCCAGAGCACCAGCAAAACACCCGTGGGCAGAATTTGGGGGGCTCAGACGGATCAAACTTGTGTTTGGCTGGTTGCCCCAGGGTGGGTTTGAGGGGGCACCCCCAGCTCCATCAGTGCCCCCTGGGCTGGGGGGGCAACTTTATTCAGCTCTCGTGGTTGCAAGTAAAAAAAAAACTCCTTTAAATCCTCATCTTCCAATTTGAGGAGGTTTTAGTGGCCTGAATTCTGCCCGTGCCCAGTGCCCGGGGCTGAGGGTGGCACTGCCAAGGGACCCCCTCCCTGTCCCTGTCTCTGTCCCTGCCAGGTTTCATTCCTGCCCCTTGGGAAAAGCTTAAAACTTAAACCTTAAAACTTCTGGGAGCCCTTCAGGGCAAAGGGAACATCAGCAATCCCTGGCCTAGCACTGAAAACTTCAGCATTATTATTATTATCAACACGTGGAAAGAGGGATCGTTAATCTACCAGCTGTAGAAACAGGGTTGAGAGTTCCCCAGCTGTTCAGGCCCCACTGGATGTTGATTAAGATCAGGTGTGAGGGTGACTCAGGGACTTTTCTAATGATTTTTTTTTTTGTTTCAGGCTGAAGTGGTTCTCTCTGTGTGGTGAGGTCTCCAGAACTTCCAGCAGAGCTGGAAGAGCTTACCTGTCGCACTGGATGTCAAATTTGTGACAGTTCTGGAGTTCCTGCAGCTTGCTCTCCTGGACTTGGCCAGAGAAACTTTACACTGCCAGGTAAGTGGACTTCTAATTTCTGGTTGTAATGGGATGACTCTGAGCTTCCTGTAGCTGGCAATTAAAACAGGAGGCGTCTCTTGGCGTGGGTGACATCAATGATGAACTTT